ACCGCCAGCTCACGCGAAGGACTGCCCCAATAACGTGGGCACACGGTCTCCGCCCTTTCGCGCTGCCCACGCCCAGCCAAGTCTGCCCCCATTAGCAGCCTGCCAAGGAGGTGGGTTCTAACCCAGTTCTCCACGAAGGAGAGCAACCCTTTCCCCACCTCTTTCTACCCCATCCTGGTACCTGAGGGCACCGGAGGTGGCCTGGGAAGATATCCTCCAGTGAGGCAGCTGGTGAGGCTTGTGTGCCCTTGTGGCAGTTCCATCCTGGGCCTATAATGAAGATGGCTTTTGAGTGTACAAAGGACAATAAATTATTACTTTGCGCTCAATAAATGCCAGGGCTCCAGGCAGCTGCATCAGCAGCAAACTGTGCTCACAGAAAAGCTTAATTATCCTGATATTATAGTTAAAAGCCAGTGGCACTCGTGTCCTGGGGAGACGTTCTTCACTCGGCAGGAGGCAACCTGGGCTGAGCTGTGGACATCTGAAAAGTAGCATCCTGGGTCTCAGGATAGCCCTGGATCTCCAGGACCCTGTCTTGGCCCCTCTGAACGACCAGAAGAGCCTCGATACAGTCAGTCAGCACAGACCTTTCATGTGCATCCCACCCAGGTTCTGGAACTGGTGAAGAAAATGGAACAGCCCAGGGATTGGAGGTGGACAGTGTTCCCTAGGGCTGTTTTAGATAAAGGCTTGAAGGAGCCCTAAGGGAGTAGCCAGGGAGGCTGTACATTCAAAGGCATGGAAAAAATAAGCTCCCAGGGCTCTGCTTGAGCTGAGGACCCGCACTGAGCTGTCTTCTCCTCAGCCTCACTGAGTCACTGGGCAACAAAGGGGGCATCACAGCTGTTTAGACCCAGAGGCTGCAGTTCAGACCAGCAGGTCCATGAATGGCTCACCGGAAGAGCTTCAGTGGACACAAAGGGACATGACCTGGGGCTGATCTTATTTCCGATAGAGGAAAAGGAGGGCTGAACTTGTGGCCCCCAAGGAGCAGGTCAACTTTATGTTTTCACATGAACTTGGCTTCTTCCCAGAGCTTCCAGACTCCAGTCATTGTCTGGTGCCCTTCTTGAACTCATCCTAGAGGCAAAAGGCAGAGTCTTTGGTCCTTATGACCCTGACAGTCTTCCAGCTCTGGTCAGATTCTCTCCAGATCCTCTTGTGGGCTCTAAGAATCCCAGACAGCAGGCAGGTGGCGTCTGGAATTAGCTGAGGGAGATGCTGGGAGAGGATTTCTGGACCATCGTTTGGAGAAGCCGAGGGGAAAAAAGAAGCCAGTAGCAGAAGGTTAGCAGGAAGGAGGAGGAGCTGATGAAAAGATCAGAGGTGAGGAGAAGCCAGAAAGAAGATGCAGGGAGGGTGCAAGAGTTGCCAATGGCGGAGGGGAAGCTGCACAGAAGCAGGAGGTTCTGTGACAGAGGGAAGGTCGGAGAAATATTAGCGAATGTCCTGAGAGTCCTCCTTTCCTCCTTGAAGGTGATCTTGAGCTCCTCCTGAATTCCCGAGTCCCTCAGGCCTAGGCGCGAGGAGGTGAGTCAGGACCCAGGACTGATCCTTGTATGCCAGATGATTCACAGGGATTCGGAGGCTGGTGGCAGGGTGGTCTGACTCTCCTGGCAGCTGGGCTCCTTGATGGGCTGGGCACTACCCACGGGAAGAGAGTGAGAATAGTCACCTAAGAGCTTGCCATGTCACCCTCTCCACTTCCTGCACTAGCCTGGACATTCAGGAGGGGTCTGATGGAGAATATAACACTCTGCCCTGGGCTCAGAGGATGGGTTTGCACTGCTCGTGATGCACCTAGGCTTGTCCGTTCCTTCTAAAGACAGTCAGAATGGCCTCCATGCGATGGGTTCCCAGTTGAGACGGAGCCTGGACCAAACTGGGAAGCAGTAGAGTTTCAGTCAATCATCTCTCATGACCCTCTAAGGGCCCATTCAGCCCAGCCCTCAGCATCACCCCAAAATGGAGGACAATAAAACCCCCAAGGGACATTCAGCTGAACACAGGGCTTGCAGGCTTTAACACACCCTGTTCATATCACGCTTGAAAGCAGCATCCTGGGGAATGCAAGCCTTCTCTCATTGGCCCCAGTTCTCCTATCCTCTGTGTCCCCCACCTGGCTCTTTGTCCCAGAGGACTCTGTCTGTATAATCACTTAATTGCCTGTCATCCCCACTAGTTGTTGACTCATGAAGGCAGAGGCTGTGTCTATCTTATCTACCCGCAACCTAGCCCAGTGGCTGGCAAGAGTAGATGCCCAATGGGGTCAGCAGGTGGTGTGGTGGTTAAGTGTGCTGGACTCCCACACGGCTGACTGCGGTTCAAGTCCTGTACCTAGCAGCTTGCTTTCTCACTTTCTCTTTCTTTCTCTCTATCCCTTTCTGGTCAAATTAAAATAAATAAATAAATAAAGTTTAAAAAGTAATTCTTTTTTTTTTTTTTTTTTTGGAGAGTTTTTCCCTGGAGGGGTGGTGC